GATTAGTGAAAAACTCCTTGCGTCGCCTATAATATCCATATTATACTAGGTTAGTCGTTATCAAACCTGCCATCTGTACCATTTTTATAAATGATATTTTAGCACATACATGATTGAATAAAAATGTAAGGAAAAAACAACGTAGTCTCAACATTTCATTGTCTCAAGTATGCGACTGGGTAATCGGTTTCATTAGTTCAACGAATCAACGAGAGACGAACTGGATGGTCGATGGGAGCGATGTAAAAACCGTGGTGCGCGCCGGATACGGGTTCCCGATGGACAGGGCGCGCGGGTGTGAGCCGCGGCGCAGCGGGGCGCCGCTCCGGGAGTGCATCGGGACGTTGACTGTCTGGGCCCTGCCTGCGTTATCTGCAGTTGCCCTTTCGTACGATGCACCGTAACCCTCCTTCCACCCCCACAGGGAGCAAACTACTGCAGCCCCCTTTACCATATTTCAGAAATTGCTATTGACCTGAAATAAGTTAGTAAACAAATTTGGCGATGTCATCGAACTAGTATACAAGTATATTTATTTCTTTAATAGGTCAAAAAAAGATTTGCGTGATTAGTCTAGTGATGAAATAAAGATTTGTGTTATCACACTTTTTTTGTCGCAGAATATCGAAGGAGGTAACTAAAGCAATAAAGTATAATATACTAGTACACCTATGCAAGAAAAGGTTAACTGGAAAGAAAATCGTATGCAAAGTCGTCTTACTATATTAGTAATATTAGAATATTTACTTCTAAGCCTCTTTTTGTCTCTTATATGACAGAGACACTTATGTTCAGTAGCCAAACGATGTTGCGTTTTAATGATAAGGTTCATTCGCCTAGAATTTAACTATTAGGTCTTACATCAGTTATATAAGTTACATCAACTTATATATGTTCCTGACATTATATCTTTTTAGACCGTAAATGCTGATAGTAGTAAAATAATTATATTTGTGGTTCTGTCTATGAAACGAAAAATATTGATATATATTTTATTTTTTAAATTAACATCCACAATGAGATCTACAAGAATTGAGCAACTTTGTAAATCGTAAAATATACACATAACATAGGCGTTATTATTTACACTATTTATTTGTTTTACAGTAATTGTAAAAATGTAAAATAAGGGCATATCATTAATTCGTAATATAGGTATAATAGAGAGGCGTTAGGCTAGTGGGGCCGTTGTTTTCTTGAGGGCATTTGATAACGATAATATGTAAATTATGACCGACAAGCCTTGAACCTGTAGTTTAAGGACCCTTGTAATGTCTCATCCATTGTTTATTGACATTTGCATTATTATTGTAATATAAATAATTTACATCAATACCTAGTTCTGTCTTGAATGAAGACCAAGTGTATATATTAAATCGATAATATAGAATGCATTTGAATGCAATTTTTAATCCGTCCATACAAAAATGCACGTAAACTAAGAGTAGGCTTTGTTTGGAGTAGGTTGCTTTGTTTCATATTTTAGTATTAATTAAATTAATTTACATTAATTAGTTTAATTAAAATTTTCACGATAATTATGTGTATTATTCAACTAACCCAAGTTTCATTAAATAATTTATGCCTCCAAAAGCGAAGAGATCATACGGCTAAACGATTCTGGCTAGTTGGAAGCGCAGAAATATCGTCATATACGAGTACTAAATTTCCATCCATTCTATTTAGTTTTATATTAATTTTTCCCTCAAATATGTTCATATTGTACAATATTTTTGACGATTTCAAAAAGGAGGATTTACTTCTTATGTATTTTTGTGATAGTATGTTACGCAATAACACAATTTTTGTAATCGATGAGGATTAATACACCTAACTATATTAATTATTGCTGTTATTTTTCGCTAAACCAATTTTTTTGGAAATCTTAAATTTATGCTAATTAGTAAAGATTGGTTTGTCTGTAATGGATAAACTCAAAAACTACTTAATACTTAATGAAGAAAGAATTTTTAATTATTTTTTTTATTCTTTTATCTATAGAAATCTATATTATCAACAAGTAATATAGGCTATATATTATTTTTTTAAATTCTATCTATCCGTGCAAAGCCGGGTCAGATCGCTAGTTAAGTATATTTATAAATATTTAATCATTTATTTTTTTCTTTTGCCACGGCACAAACAGACAAGCACACATGCAAATCTAAACATCTTCAGATATAGTTTGTATTATATTTTTTATTTTGTAACGAACACTGTCCTTGTATATTAGTACAACAATGGTATCAATATTCAAGTTTAGTAGGCTCATAGCGTCCCTCAGCTTTGGGCTCCGCGACCTTGAAGCCACCGTCCTCGAGCGATGTCAATGACAGCTATACCCCAGCCTCGGCTCGTGCTGAACACCCTTCTACCATCATCCTCACACCCCTTAGCAACTCCCACCCTTAGCGACTTCCACGAATTTAATGAACTTTGAGCTGATACCTCGAGACAAATTAGTAGGTATATTTTTATATAAGTACCTACCATGTAACTTAGGCAATTTTAGTCATGATATTTGCAAAATATCATTATAAAAAAATAACAGTAATTCAATTGATTTTCAATCTTTTCTTACCTTTGGAAACAGCACATAGTCAGTTTAGTTTCACCAACTGCAGTTGCTTCTGAGAATAAATTTTAAATGTTTGTATTGGTTTGTTATTTTTTACACATTTTTACTTTTTAAATTTGATATTTTTATATTAAAAAGAGCAAATTTTAGTTAGAAAATTATGTTAAAAGTGTATGCGCAACTTACGTGTTGTTAATTCTTTTCGTATTTTTTTTAATTTTGTATTTAATAGAATTACCTCTTTGGCATTACTACTTAATTTTATAAATAATAATTGTTTAGTTACTGACAATAATATAAACGACGATGAAACGATACTGCTGTATCAACGCTCCAAATTATTCGCCAGAGATTTGACTATTGAATGAAGCCAACTGACAAAGTTAAAGACCGACGTCGTTGATATAATTTCCATCACATCTGAGATTTTGAGTGAGATTGAGAAGATCTTTGGAAAGCTATAAAGTCGTCATTAATACCGGATATCAATGTGACTAACAACCAAAGAGCTAAAGCCACCCAACACTATACCGATGATATAATCTGTACGATAGTTTGCATGAAATTAAAACGACTCTCAAATAGTTTATAAATGACAAGGCATCGGCGGGGTATGGAACTACAGCTGAATTTCTAAAAGAGGGTGGAAAAACCGATACTTGTAGTCCTTCAGAGGCTATTTAATTTCGTCATCTATAACGTTGTTACGCTCGAGGCGTGGAGCGGACGTTTGGTAGTCATGTTCCGGTAATCTAGTGTGTTACGATATACGAGTATGCTATGTATTGTAACCCTCTTGAAGAACAGGACTAATAATTTGGAATAACTACAAACCGATACTCTCTGAAATACGTCTATGGACTGTTTTCAAGAGTCTTGACCAATTGTCTTTTGCGCAAGTTCGATGACTTCCAGACTACAGATTAGGTGACTACGTTTGACAACGTATGTTAAAAAAATGTGATTAATTATAATTTTCAATTAAAATATTTTCTATATTAAATCTATTGTCAAATGAACACAAATTATAAAATGGTATTCTAATGGTACCTATGTAAAATTATCCAGTATTTTTATTTTTTTGAAAATTAAAATTTTTGTCATACGTGGGGTTTAAGCGATGAAATAAAGAATTAAACAAACATTAATTTAAATTCACATGTATTCACATCTTGGCTACCGAGATCATTAGCTCACAATTATTGCAATGCAGGTCATATTACGGTAATTGTTCTCAAGTCTAATGTGGTAGCTAATAAATCAAATCACTAATTTGTGAAACTTTATCGTTTCTATTAAACTAAAAAAGGGCCAACTTGATAGCAAGCTTGATATATTGATTTTTTTTGTATATTGTGCGTTATTTTTTATCAATTCTTAACTGATTTTGATGACTTTTCTTTAAATTAAAAGATTTGCTTTCGTGTTATTCTCATATTAATTTTAATAAGAAAACAATATTGATAAATATTTTATGTTGATAGATATCATAGCTGCGTTACGATTTCCTTATTTCTAGTAGATACTATTATTTAATCTGTTGCTGTTGTGGTAGACTGACAAATCAATGACAGAAAGGTCGTTAAAGACGACTATTGGAATATAGATCATGTCAAAACACTTATATGCATGGAGCATGAAATAAACATGAATTACATTAGTATGACCTATAGGGCATGACGCAATGAATACAAATGTCGTGTGCGAATTATTGTGAAGTCAAAGATATCAAACAATGTATAAATGTATTTTCCTTGTCATCGTAATTAAAATGAGGCTAACTAAGGTATAGTAAACGTAACGTGCAACTAGCAAGGTCGCAATGTACTATATTTTTTATTTTTAAATCGCACTTATTAATGTACTCGTATAATTTTAACCACACTGAAATCAAATGTACGAGATTTCTTTTTAAAGACGTAAAATATTATACCATAAGGGTAACGATAATTGTGACTAAACCTACACAATATTAGTAACTGTGTAATATTCGGGTTCAAGATTTCTCAGAAAAGAATTATTCCGATTTAATACTTCTATGATTACGAAAAAGATAGCATTAGTTAAGGCATGCTCATGATTATATTATATTCGTTTTTTTTTATACAACTTAGAATGGCAAACAAGCTGATTTGTTTCGCCCATGATACCCTCCATGCGTTACCATTCCTGAGGACTCAGATGTTATTCCTCTGTACCCAGCAAATTCATGTTATATCCCATCCTTCAAACCGAAACACACCCATGCAAACACAACTGCTTCACGGTAGAAACACGAATGGGACAGAGGTACCCAAGCAATCGACTTTTGTACAAAATCTTCCTCTGGTGTTCAATTCAATGTGTTATATAATATTCTTAAGTAAATAAATATTTTGTTAACAGATATATTTCATAAGAAACAAAACAGTTAAGTTATTTTATTGGTTGAACTTGGTTGCAGAGCTGGACTCTAGCTTTAAAATGAATTAATAAAAAAAAGTTTTTATAAAACAAGCAATTTTTTAAAATATTATACTAATATAATAAAATTGTAACTAGACGATGTTTTTCCATGCGAAATATTTGAGAAAAGTTTGTATGAAATGTCTTAATAAGACCAACAGTTGCCAATACAATAATTTTTAGAAATTTTGTTAGCTGTTTGTATGTTCGTTTCGGCGTCACATTTAAACTACTAAACTAAATTGAATACGATTTTCACAGTTGTGTTCCTGAAGGTTAAGCATAAAATTTGGTGTTTGTATTATCTTAATATGCTATTACGCAAGAAGTGTTCTACTTCATTGGTTTTCCTAATTTAGAAATCCACACTTACGAAGTAGCGGGTAAAAAGCCAGTATTGTATATATTACATATTGTATTGTTAGTAACTTTTATTTATTTATATAAACAGGATCCGTATTGGTAATAATTGACTTAAGACTAGGTTCATATATCTTATAAATATAAAATCCCAGAAAAAAAAAATTGTGATCCTCCAAAAATTTTTTTGATCGAAGGCTTAATAGCAAATTTAATCCGAAATGAGTGACCATAGCCATTATAATTGTTACATAGTATATATAAAGGTAAATAAATTGGTATCACTGTTACAATATTTATCTCAGAAAGTAAACTTATTTTATTTTTCGATAATTATTTAAATTAGAAGTATGTATTATTTAGGCTATAATTACTTATTATAAAATATAAAATTAGTCTCTAATAGAAGTGCAGGACGAGGGCAGCATAGAGGGGCGTGGAGGGACTGGGGGCGACGACTGGCACCAAAGCCCGACATTCAGATACCCTTGCGAGGGCATTCCACTACTGCAGTCTTCAAGGCCCTTAAATTGAAAAAGAACAATGAACTTACTGTTTAGGTTCGCATTTTAAATGTTCAGAAAATATTCTAAATTTGACGAATAAGGTAAACATACAAATCAAATTAATATTTATTTATATACTTAATATATTAAACTTGAGTATAAACTAAGAAAACATTCATATTTTCTTTATTATTTTATATTTTGAGCTCCATTATTATTTACTATTCTTCACAAAGAGAATGAAAAATTATGTAAATCATTTGAATACATAGTTTTAATTGTAATATTAGTTTTAGATTTAAGTGGTAATGTTTACTATAATTAATATCACAATGAAAATTAAGAGAACATTTAAGACCTAACTCTATGTGAAAATAAAAAAAATCACCTTTATACTTATTTATAGCAAGTAAAAATATAATCATATTAGAGACCAATTTAGAAAAGTTAGAATTAAATCCATTCTTTTTTTGGTGTCATCCAGGTCTTGTAAAGGGCAAACAGGGGTTCAATTTGAACTGTCTGAAGGTCATGGTCTACGGTTTTATGATGTATAACTAATGTGACCCCGAATATTGTCGATATTGTGGGTGATAAGGTCTAAGAGTATGAATAACAAAATCTTATGCTCTAATAGGCAATTACAAAAAGTTAAATTTAAGACATAGCGATTAGCAAATTTACTAATACGACTACTAATTATTCGACTGAGCAATTCACACGAATGATTTTAAAATCATTACTACTATCGATTACTAATTTTATTCATTAGATTACTAATGTCGTTCATTATATGTTTAAACTAATCGCTTAATTTATTCAGTAGTAGTTATTCATGTACGAATCGGTCCAAATGTAGCCGAGTCGATCTGATCGCTAACATGCTTTTGTAAATAGTCAGTAGTGTTACCATTTTAGTATAGTTAGTCAAAATCAGCAACTTTCTTTAGTCATAAGTTAATTAAGCAGTAAAGTAAATGTTTATTCTAAATTACTGTTTATATTGAACGTAGTAGACCGCTGAAACGATTTTTTTTTGTTTTTTGGTCATCTATTCTATACTATTGTTAAGATAGTGGATACTGAGAAAGATCTTTGTTTTCATTATTAAAACTTTACGTCGAATTACTTACTAATTATTAAAATCATTTGAATACTAAAACTGCTAATTGAGTAGTCGAATTATAAAATTAGTAATTAATCGAATAACAAAATCATTCCGATTCGCGCACTATTGCGATGTATCCTAACTAGCAAAATATTATTATATTTTTTTAGTATGCTTTATTTTTTTTTAGAGTGAAACTGAGAATTTTTGTATTAATGAAAATTGACTGGATATCAGTTCCAGTAAATTTTTATTTTTTATATAATATCCAGTTAAATTATGCTAGTTTAAAAGCATTCACGAATGATAATGTTAGAGATTTATCAATTTTTTTATTGTTCGTGACATTTCAATCTACAGACTGTCGTAATATTTTAGCACATAAAAGATATAATAAGACAAAAAATGGGTAAATGTCTCTATAGTTATGACCAATACAATACCAATACATGACACGGATAGCTCTCTTAAGAAATATCACAATAGCCGAAAGAAATACTCCTTCAGCGCAACGCAACGCGCGTTAACATTAATCTAGGACTTGCAATGAGTTCATCTACTGTCCTTTTTTTAATTTAGATTGATAACGTTGATGCAAAAGGAAATAGAATATAAGAAGGATATTTTGATTGTTGTATAAAAGTCTCGACTCTGATCTTTTTTTGTTCCTACCGTAAAGCAGTTATGTTTGCATGACTGCATTTTGTTTTAATCCTAACCCATGTTTACTGTAGTCCAAGAAACCTTAGGTTTTTGTTTATTTTTTAAAAAGATTAACAGTATAGTATTACAATATAAAATAATACTCTTATGTCAATTAATAATATATTACCATTTACATCTAACTTTATTAGTCTAGACTCAATTAACAGCTATTCATTACTATGCTGTAAGAGAACTTAGTTTGTAACAGTTGAAAACGGAAGTAAGATGTAGATTTTTTACCTAGCGATTTGAATAAAAAACGAAAAGTTAAGACTATATGCCAGTTAAAAAATCATTAAATAAATGTATATTATAATGTTATATAGTACAAGATACTTCATCCAGGGGAAGAAATACATTGTCTCGCCGCTGCATATCGATCGGCGACCGCGACGGCGGCGGGACTACCGTTGCAGGATGAAATCACACCGATAGTTATTAGCATGTACTAACACTACCGTCAATATTTATGACCATTATTTTGTTAAAAAAAATATATATTTCAATAGTGACAAAATTGAAGCAAATCCTTTCAATTAAATAAATATTCCCTAATTCGTCCCCTTACTCAAACATCATGGGTTGTCAAAAACTAACTCTACTACACTATATAGCATTATATGTAATTTTGTCCTATACTCCTAGAGAACTTTCAAATGTTTTAGGCTTCCAGAGGTGATGATAAAAAAGTTGCAGGAAAAAGAAGTTACAGAGCGGGTGTTGTTACTACAAAGAATTATCTCGATGGAGATGCGTAAGAGACGTAAATTTGTTTTGGCTCAAACCAACTAAAACTGTACTGTAATGGAGAAAGATCTTCTATTTGTGCTGTTATAGTTGTGTATATGCCACTTTAATTTACCTTATGTATTAATTACAAACGAAAGAGGTAATTTGTCTTAGATTTATGGAATTATATCGTTAATTTATCAATAATAATCCTCAAAAATATGTAATGAAATTATGTCATTTGTAATAATATCTCGTAACTGTTTCACAACAATAAATTGTGACAATCTATGTAGAGCCAAGTATGATTTTTTTTATACCACTGAGGTGGCAAACAAGCATACGGCCCACTTGATGGTAAGTGGTTACCGTAGCCTATGAACACCTGCAATACCGGAGGCATTACGCGTGCGTTGCCGACCCTGAAGAAATCTTTTTACCCCCCTTTTGAGAACCTCATGCTGTAGTCTTTTGGAAAAACCTCGGCGGGGAGCTCATTTCACAACCTGAAACCGCGCAGTACGCGACCATTGAGGCTGTAGGACATGAGGATGAACTCCCTGTCGATGGCGAGCCGTACGATAGTAGAAAGTGGCTGTGGGCATCATATTGAACAATTCCTCTGATGATTGCCAAATTTGAAAGTTGTATTTATTAATATAATAATAGAGACATGTTACATTGAATGAGAAGTATTGTATTACAATTTAAATAATAAGTAGGTAATTTATCATATTTAATTAATTACTTAATATCGATACATGGATCGACACACACACACAGGATACTATTTATCCTAATAAAAAAATGGTATAATTGCTAGTTTCTTACATCAATCAAGAAGAATCTTTATCTTTAAATAGGAGTCGAATTCAAATACGAGTATCTAGAGTACTGCGTATCTAATGGATTACAAATTTATATTCACATTTATTTTATTTCAATTTTAAGTAATAAAATAATATATGAAAAGAGATTTTTTTTTGTTTTTTCATAAAATACGTTAACGTTTAATACTAATATAAATAAGTAGAAGTTTGTCGAGATTCCATAATATCGAGAATCTTATCCATATCCAAAGATAATCAACATATATCGATATATCTATTACATAATAACGAATTTTGATAAAATTTTGTCCAAAATATATACTGTTTTCTAAAATAGCATAGTACTGCTTCTAACTATTATTTCTAAAGTAGTATAGTAGTCGTATTCCAATGAGATAATAGTATTGTTTATAAACGGGAATATTGTTTTATTTCCAACAAATATAAACAATTTAATTGTTAAAAGTTCCATAAGTACACATTATTATAATAAGTATTAGTTTAACTTACATGTATTTAAGTCGTCGAAGAAGTTGTAAAAGTCAAGAGAAAGCTAGACTAAAATACATGTAAATTAAATCGGCAGTTATTATATTAAAATAAAATATAAAGTAAAAGAATGGTTTAGACTGTAGATGTAGTTTAACATACTTTGAATCTACCACTGAGATTGCTCACTATCTTAATACCAGTATGTCATACTTCGTAATAAAATCTTAATATAACTAAATCAAATAATACTAACTTAATGACACTTATTAGTATGAATTTTAAAAGTTTTTTTTTTTATTATTACACAATGCATATTGACTGTATAGTAATAATTATTCAAGTGTTGTACTTGTCATGTATTTTATTAGTTCTTTATTGCGTAAATGAATTGTGTTAATTAATATTATAGCTGGTAAATTTTCGTTAGTATAAAATATTAAATATTTCTACGGTGTGAATGCACGTCGTGCAAACCATGAACTTGCATATATACGTGGCGCATGCGTGCACTGTCTCTACAACACCCTCGTCGATTGCCTGCAACCGGGCCCTGTCCTGGTGCCCTTCCCATGCCATCAACTTTCACTCCCGAAACCGAACACAGATATAAACATATTACAAAAATGAAATAAATGATCTGTTTTAAGTGCAATTATTGCTTTACATTTAAAAATTTTGATATTTTTTTTTAAATTGTAGGTAGGCAAGCCGACTTTGTATTGTACAACGTATCTGCACAATGTTTTTTTTTAAATATTTTTAACAATTTATTGAAATGTAAAAGCTATATTGAAAACATAAAAATCATAGGATATTTTATATTATATTCGACGTCTTAGAATGTTCAAAGCAAAAGAAGCTACTTATTACATATTTATTTACCTAGTATACTATTTGTTTATATGTGATCACAAGGTAATAAAAATAATAATTTATTCTTTATGATAGATAAATTTTAACAAATTACTAATATTAGGTGGTCAGCCTGAAAAAGCAAGTCCAGTCTCAGTCTCGAATAGAACAAATTGTGATAGTTTCCTTTCATTCCATTAATTTCACATTCTTTTTTGACATTAGGCCTGAATTTGATTCACATTTAAGTCAATGTGCGAAATAATCTATGAAAAAAATAACAAAATATTACTTAATCCAAT